CTATTGGATTTGAGTTGTGGCAAAGTGTCCTTAAAGCATGGTCTGTAATTAAGCGAGGATGAAGCTTACGCTTACTTAAACGGAGGATCTCCTTCTGCAGAATACAGATTGATATATTCTGTGATACAAATCACGTTTCCATAAATGATCCTGAACTTAAGTAAAACAAATTTAAACAGTGCGTGAATACACTGTCCAGCTGGAGAGGTGAACGTCCATGTGCAACTGACACCCTTCGCATAAAATTTTGGATGTGTCAACGAAAGTGGTGATCGGATAAAGCCTGGTGATGTGCTAATGCTTTTACCACATTTCGCTAAATTGTGACCGTTAGTCGCAGAAAAAGCGCATCATACATACAGTTTTGACATTTATCACCCGAGTATTCATCTAAGCAGTTACAAAATGGTTTCCCATCTTTCCGAGAGCAGGTTGCGTTGTTCAGGCAACCATAGGCGTCACACAGCAAATCTAAAATGGATAAGTATTTAAATAATGTACCAGAGAAAAAACAATCGTTCTTAGACGCTGTTCATCGCCGAAGTCTTTCAAGGGGTTTCTCCGCATACATGCCTGGTACACCATACTGTCCCATATTCAAAGATCAATTCTCAACAACTGAGTGCAAAGTCAAAACAAGAGAACCTGTCAGTGCAAACTGTTCCCCGAAAATGAATCAAGTGTAATCAGAAATGTAATGAATGTGACGCATAAAACATGTCTGCAGGGTAATCCTCAGAAAGACTTTCGCAGTGAAAAATTGTGAACCAGCATGAAAGATTCTAGCAATATGGCTAAAACCTTCAGTTAATGTTAATCAAGTAATTATCATATAAAGTGATCTGGAATATTATCTAACATTACGTTTTACATGTCTGGCTGACTGCTGCGCTGAAGGAGGTTCTGGATACTTTGACATTTTCTGAATTACATGCCGGGAAGGTCAGGTGTCATATATGACTACAGTAACCTGCCTTGTTCAAAGCGATATTTGCCTATCAGTTCAAGTAACGTTCTAAACAGTTTTTTGAGCAAAACGACTGTCTATTGCGCAAGCCAGACATCTAAAAATTTCGTCTATCCCATTAATTATGCTGATTGTATTTGCACTTACATCAGTCAGACATTTAGATCTATTAAAATCAAAATTTACGAACAGAGGAGCTGTATGGAATGACCATGTACTACACTCTGGTGCTGTCATCGGTAATGAAATAAAACTTATTGTAAAGGAAACGTGACATATCTACATTGAGAAAAGTAGTGCATCTCAAGGAAATGAGATCTCACATGGCATACTATCAGCATGGAGATTAGCCCATGAACTGATTCGAGAAAATAATCGAACTACTTCTGGAAAAAAGCTTGTCTAAGTTTTTGCCATAGAAGTTTAGTTTTCATCCATCTTGATGCAAAAAACTTCTCCATCTCATCTTGTCACCGATCCTAAGATGGACTCTTTACTATCGTTGAATCCCTACCCTACTCGTTGAACCCAGTTTAGTGTTTATTTAGTTACGCAATGGTTCATTCCTCTTACAAAGTGTCGTGCCCACTGCTACTTCGAACTCATCACTACCGCAGTTATATCATAGATTCTTGTTTACTCTCTTTTTACTCTTCCTCAACATACGTTTTTTTATTCCAAACCTGCACCAAAACTTTAAACCTGTGTTGGATAATCTGCAGTTTATTAATAGCTTTTAGGCCTAGAATCCAAGTTATGTATCCATTGGTTAGCAGACAACGTACATACTGAGCGAATGATTTTCACTTCAAGGAGAATTTAAATCTCGCAAACGTTCCTTATTATCTTGATTTCCCGGAGAAGATTCACAACTGTAAGATGAGGAGCCCGAGAATAACGAATTTTTGCACTTCTACATTCTGCACAACAATAGCTTCAATTGTTCAGGGCGTCATGAATTTGTTAAACATTACTAAAATTTTCTCAAAGTCCATCTTCAACCATGTTTCGATGCAGGCATCATTCACCTCTTCAATTAATCTTTAGATTCCTTCCGGTGACATTTAGAGGATCAGAATATCGTCCTCAAACAACAACAGGCTTAAGTAGTGCCAATTTATATCCAACATTTGATTTTACTTACAAAGCAATTTTTAAATCTCTTCTAGGGCTTCTGTGAGTAACTTAGACGATAATGCATCTCCCGGTCAAATGCCACTTTCGATTTTGAACGTATTTACGCTTTTGTGAAGCTTCACACTGGCAGGTGCATTCATGTAGATCATGGTGATTAAGCCTACATATCTTTTTCGATTAAGCCTCAAGGAACCCAACACAGACATAGCGTAGAGTAAATCGAAAACCTGCTCAAAATTGAAGAACGTCATATTCTTTGACTGGCTGAATTACCTGCTGTGCAACCTGGAGATGATCCATTGTACTAAATCTACTTCTGAATCCTGCTTGTGCTCCCTTTATTGTGCAGTGTCCAGTTTG